CCTCCCCGCCCTTCATTCAGAAAGAACTGAGAATTTTGAGTCATTTTTTCAAACCATTCACTGGGTGAGAATCAAGTTTCTTTCAATCAGCAGACTACACAAGTACTTGTGAAGAATATTTTTAAATAGAGAAGTCATCTTGAATTTACTAGTAGAACACTTACAACACAGCATAAGCAGAGTGTATTAGAAGGCAGCTTCTAGTCCTGTTACACAATATATTCTTATGTAAGAATCTTCCCTTCATCTGAATTTAATAAAAATACACACTCTGGAGGATGGAAGAATAACTGTATAAACAAAAGCACCATTTTGTCAGTATGACCTGTTTATCCTAAGCCAACTACAATAAATAAGGGTCAAATTTTCACACTTTGGATGTACCAGCACAGCTACTTGGCCTCAACAAACTCGAAATAAAGTTCAAGATAAACCACTGACATTGAAAGTCCCTGCAATATCAGGAAAAAAAAAACACTATTCAAATGATAAAGAGCAAAAAGTACTGCAGCTATAACTACAACACAAAAGGAGCATAACATGTTCAATCATAGAACTAAATCAAAATAGAAAATGGGAACTTAAAAACAGCTACCTCAAACATTCAAAAATCAGACCTCAGCAAAGTGCAATTCTTACAGAATTTATATTTTTGCTTTGCTAAGGGTGGTATGATTTTTTGAATCTATGATGTAAGTAAAACTCTCCCTATAATTAGTTCTCCAATGCTGCATTCTACCTCTAAAATGCATACAGTTTTCAATCTGTTCAAAATGAAAACAGCATACTGGCCTGTCAAATACTTCTTCAAAAATATAATGAAGATTGATGTATCATACAGATACTACTTCCACCTAATCCCTCCAAATAAAAGCAAGAGGCAATCAAAACACTGAACACACTATTTCACTATTGCCATCACAGCTTCCCTACTCTCCTGAAAAAGCAAAAATTCTTTTTCAAAAGAAAGTCTTAAGAGGTAAGAAAACATGAGTTATTTCATAAAAAGAAAATACATCCACGCTCTGAAGTCAGTTAAAAAATCCTTAGAACATGACTTAGGCAGAGCTGCTCTCAAGTATTCACTCACCACTCTTCTCATTGATCCTGTAGCATTACACAGCAAGACAGACGCAGGACACTTGGAACCCAGCTAGCCAACAAAGCAGTTTCACATTTTACTTTCCATCAACAAGTAATTTACACAGGTCAGAAAGAAATTCATACAGCACTCAAACAAGGCTTTTTTTTTTACTTATTTGTACTAACTCATAGCAAACAGTCCACCACGTTCTACCACAGTTTATTTTCTAGATGCACAAACTACCAGAGCTTTATATATAGCACACCCTAAGCGTTTCACCTGGATGCGATAAAGACAGCAGGCCCGGCTGCAAAATCTCTTTCCAAAAGAAACATCTTGGATGGACATGAAAAGCTACACTAAGCTGTTGCTTGAGCTCAGAACCTCCTGAACCACGGACAGCAAACCTGAAGAACTAAAGGAAAATATACACTTGGAGATGGACACAAGAGTAGCAAGAACTGCCCTGACAGCCCTGGTGTTTCTCCTGACCAGCCCTGCCTCAATCTATGAGCATAAATGTGGTAACAATAAATTTGTTAAGATACTTCTATTGACAACTTCCAATAACTAGTATTGAAAAATTATTCATGTATTATTAACAAGATGAATCCTATTAGAAAATACAAAGCATATCTACTTCTAACCCTGCTCACAAATAGAAAAAATTTTAGACCTGGTATGTGGCCATGATGTCTTCCAACTTGTCTTTCAACTGAACTACATTAAAAATACTAAAAGTTAAATTAAAACGAAATAAAGAGTGGATCTGCACGATGAATTAACTCATAAATAAACAAGTGACCATCTCAGTAACCACAGAACGTTAATTAGGTCACAAAAATAATTGCCATCAATTTCTTTATCACCATTAATTGTGCTATAGGCTTTTACAACACGCAATTCATGTGAAGATCTTTCAACTTGTACACCAAAAACATTAGTCTGGCAAATCAGCTAGAAAACAGGCACTCTGTAATTCCTGCAATTGGATTAGTAATTTACATATTAATGATTTTTTTGTGTGTGTGTTTGGTATCACTGCATTCAATCACATCCTGCAGTATAATACAATATTATTATGTAAGCTGGCATCTTGTAATCAAGTGTTTGCTACTCAGTAATACTGATTAGCAACTTTGCACCAGAATGCTACCTATTAATAGGCTCCTTAAAAGTAGTAAGGTATTAATTGTTTTTTCCCCTCCTCATCTCCAGAAACCGTTCATATAATGTCACTGAGATGTGGACCACAAATCAGGAGCACAACTTTCTTGAGCAATATTGCAAATGCAGAAGGAGACACATGACTGCTTGGGCACTATCCAAATGACTGAAGTAGCTCGTGTAACAACTGGGTACACACACTATAGTTTTTCATTTGAACTTGTTTCCCCTTTACCTCAACATGCTAATGAACCCATCCTGTGCAATTTAAGTCTCAAGACTCTCACACCACTCTTTCACAGAAAGTAACTGCTAGTTTAAAAGCAAATAAAGACTTAAGGACACACTGATAAAGAAAAATTCTTTCCAGTGATTCCACTGTTACTGCCACTCTTATCAAACACAAATCAATTTGTGCTACTCCCTTATCCCCAAAATACACTCAGTCCCCTATTTAAACAAAATAACTGAATTTCAGCTTAGAAATTGTTTTCTGCCTTAGTTTCTGCAAGGCCATGTAACAGCTGTGTTCAGACAACATGCAGGGACACACCGTTTTTTAAACAGACACCACAAAAGACCTCAAAATAACCCTTGCCCTCTCCTCCAGTCAGAGCACAAGTCTGCTGCATACACTTCTAATTATAAATATAGTAACCTGACATGGGGAGAGAGACAGCCCCTTGGACACGATCTCAGAAACTACTAACCCAAATCTGTGCTGAGCACAAGCCTAGAGCAACACAATTTGGGGCTAAGATAGATTGCTATTTTACAATCTACAAAAGATACAGCTACTTGTACGGAGTGGACAACAATAATGGACTTCCAAAGCACAATTAGGTCTATCTTACAATAATCCACTATCCCAATAGATCCTGCTTGCATTTCCTGCTCTAAAACTGGCATAGCTGAAGTCTCTTACCACATGTTCTTCAGCAAGTAATTTTCTTTACTACTTTCAACATAATAAAATTAAGCCATTTTAAGTTCCAGGCAGCATTTAGAGTAAGTATAAATACATCCTCTGCATACTTTAATCTAAACTTAACAATGCTAGAATATCTAAATCCTTTCTTGTTAATATTTGCTTCTTGGCACAAAAGTTTGCCTTAGACCACAAGATAAGAGTAAGGTAATTTCTTTATGCGCTTCATCTTTTAAAAATTTCCCAAGGTACTGCATACTAAATATTCTTAAAATTCACAATTGAAATATACCATTAATATTGCACATTTTCATTATCACTATTATTATTTAGTACTTCCATGATGTATGGAGATGAACTTTTTAGAAGGGTATGTATAGAATACAAGGACCAATAGCTTTAAACTGAAAGAGTATAATTTTAGATTGGATATAAGGAAGAAATTCCTTACTGCGAAGATGGTGAGACACTAGAACAGGTTGTCCAGAGAAGCTGTGCATGTCCCATGCCTGGAAGTCTTCAGGGACAGGTTGGATGGGGTTTTAAGCAACCAGGTCTAGTGGAGGGTGTCCCTGCCCATGGCAGGCAGGTTGGAACTAGATGATCTTTAAGGTGCCTTCCAACCCAGGCCATTCTATAATTCTGATTCTATTTATAGTGTTATTCCTCACAATACTTCTCAGCTGTATAAAATTCAACTGTCTGAAAAACAAGGATGTTTTTCCATCCTTGCCATTTCTCCAGCATTGCTGAGGTACCTTTTACCATACAGTAAAACACACACCTCCAGAAGTGTAAGTCCTTCCATAAACCCAACAGCACAAACTACTTCTGACACACATATATGTGAATACAAGGGAAAAGAACCAAACCTCAACCTCCTCATTCTTCCCCACAAAGAATTAAAGGTGAAAGCTTAAAATATGAACCACAAGAAATGGCCAGGACATACCATGTAATTACTTCAGACTAAAACATATGACACAAGAAAACAAAAAGCTATGGTCATATGAGGTCTAAACTAACATTTCTGTGTTTCTCGGGAGCAGACATGACTTTTTGTTTCATGTCTAGGTGATGTTAAGTAAGAAACACGAACATTACAAAGGTCAGCTCATTTAATTCTCACAGCATTTATACTAGTCTATCTACCTCTGGATCACTGGCAGCCAGTACTTTTGGGGGTCAGTGAGAAAGAAAAGCGAGCACTGATCCAAAGAACATCCTGCAAGCCTACTACAGAGCCCTAAGAAAAAACCGAAGGGACAATTCATTACAGGACACATGCTTCCTCGGGAGCAGGACCAAGTAAACAACCGAGGGAGAGGCAGAACAACGTTTGTAAACACTCAACGCTTCTGCACGGAGCTCGCCCGACCGCCGCCGACGGCGAGCACGGCGGCGCTGCCAGGCTGAGTCATTCCTTGTAGTAACTTCACCGCGAATCGCTCGCCCTGGCAGCGGAGCCCTGGGCAGGCAGGAGCACCCCGGCCCGTCGGGCGCTGCTCCCCCTGACGCCGGGCAGCCACCGCCCCCCCACCCACCCAACAGCGGCAGCTCACTCCGCCGCCCCGGGACCGGCTCCGGCCGCGGGATCCCGGTCCTCCCCGACCCCCGCTCCGCCGCCTCCCAGCTCTTTGTCGCCCGCCCCACGGGTGCAGCCCAGCGCCGGGACCGCCGCCCCTCGCCAGGCCGCCCTCCCGGTACCGGAGTCCCCGCCTTCCCCGCGGCTGGGAGGGGCTGAGCGGGGCGGCGGGGGGAGCCCGCACGTCCCCGGCAGCGCTCGGCACTCACCCCCGGGTCCCGCGCGGGCAGCGCCGCTCATCCTGCGCCGGTGGCGGCGCGTCTCCCCCCGCGCCGCGCGGCCGGGCCCGGCGGCTCCGCGGGGGCGCGCAGCGCCTCGGCGGGGCCCGCGGCCGAGCGGGGAGAGGCGGCGAGCGGGGAGAGGCGGCTCGGCGGGGCGGGCTGGGGGCCGCGGTAAGTGGGGGAGCCCTGCCTGGGGCGGCCGCCGCCGCCGCCGGTGTTTGTTGTTGTCGTCAGCCGCTTCCGGCGCGAGGGCTGCCGGGAGGGGGCGGCGCGCGGGAGGGACCGCGCGGCGGAAGCGGCGGCGGCGCGCGGGCCCGGGCGGGTGCAACCGGGAGGGGTCGGGGGTGAAAGGGCCCTGGAGGGCTCCGGTTCCAGCCCCTCTGCCCACGGCAGTCCGGGGGTGGCCGGAGGTGGAAGGGCCCTGGAGGGCTCCGGTTCCAGCCCCTCTGCCCACGGCAGGGACACCGTCCGCTATACCAGGTTGCACAGAGTTCGATCCACCCCGGCCCTCAATACTTTCAGGGATGTTCAAGATCTTGCCACCTTATCTCTGGGCAGCCAGTTCCATTTCTTCCTCAGCGTCACGCTAAAGAATTTCCTCCTAGTAACTGATGCAAACCTACTCTTTTTCAATTTAAACACATTCACCCTGCCCATGCATGCCCTTATAAAGAGTCCCGAGCCATGTTTCCTCTCTCCTTTCTTCCCTTGAGATAGTGGGAGGCCGCAATCAGGTCACCCCGGAGCCTTCTCTTCCAGGCTGAACAATCCCAGTTCTTTCAGCCTTTCTTCACAGGAGCAGTGCTCCATCCCTCTGATGAATTTGACGGCCTCCTCTGGACTCCCAACCAGGTCTATGTCCTTCCCTTGGTGGGTCCCCGGAGCTGGAGGCAGCACTGCAGGTGGGGTCTCACCAGAGCAGTGGGGCAGAATCCCCTCCCTTGCCCTGCTGGCTGCGCTGCTTTTGATGCAACCCAGGACATGATTGGCATTTGGAAGTCAGGCCCATGGCCTTACTTGAGTGGGAGGTTTATTCAATTTCATTTTAATCTGGGATGACAAGAGGTCAAAAGTTTAGGAAATCTACAGAGAGGTTTAAATATCTGTCCTGTGTGTTTTGAGTTTTAATCTAAAGAGATATACTGAAATAACTCACGTGCTTCACTGACATTTGGAATTATAAAAAGAAACCTTAAAAAGAGCTGGTTTTAGATGACACTTTTATAAAGTTGTGACTAGGGTATATTCAGATATAGAATATACTCTGCACGTAAGAGGAGTATTGCAAAAAAGAGTGCAAGCATGTCATGGTCCCAAGCGCAGGAAGAACATCAACATGCTGGAAAGAGTCCAGAGGAGGCCACCAGGATGAGCAGAGGGCTGGAGGATCTCTCCTATGAGGAAAAGCTGTGAGAATTTCCTTTGTTCATCCTGGAAAATAAAAGGCTTTGGGATGACCTGATTGTGGCCTTCCATACCTTAAGGTACTGCTCACAAGCTGGACCAAGCTTATGGTTTTCACAGTAAACTTGTAGTAGCCACCTCTGCTATGTTGGAGAGCTTCCTGCCTGTTTGACACATTAGAGACTATGTTGAATAGTCACAGCCTGTCCAGGCAGGAATTTCTTGGCCTTTTAAAACAAGCCCCCAGTTGCCACCTTGTGGCACCCCGTAAAGTACTCCCCAACTCTGCAGTTGTTGGGAGATGCATCCAAATTCTGAAAGACACCTGTGGCACTTCAGACTACAACAATAAATTGGGCAGGAAAGACAGCAGTACTCAAATAGATGTAATGTAATGAGTATAATACAGAACAAGTAGCATGCATGCTATTGTCACAGGTCAAAAAAAAAAAAAACCACAAATGTTGATGTTTGGTAAACCTGAAGCACAAATAAGTATCATTAAAATTCTCTTGAGGAGAAACTACCTCAGTGACCTCCTGAAGTTTGAGAAGCTGAGACATTGGCAAGAGAAGCAGCAGCACCTCTTCAAACACTGAAGCAGCAGTGCCAACAGGGTTTGTAGTTTTCTGGCAAAGCACCTCTGCCAGTCAGGCTCTCAACAATTGCATTAAGTGAGGCTTCAGGCACTTAAGCATGGTTCTGGTTTTTACAGCACGTGTTGGACAACTGTTGATTGATTTGAGAGGCAGCTCAGGCAGGACTGAAGCAGGAACTTCAGTTCTGGGGAGTAAGCAAAGTGCTGCTAGCAGAGCAGGTTGTTCTGGCTTGTTCTTGTAACATTTCATTATGTTGCTTCCTCTCAAAGTGTTCCAGAGCCACTTTGTGCCAAACAGCTAATTACAGGGTTTTTTCATGAGCCTGTCTGAACAAAACCTAAAATGTAGCATTATATTCTATCCTAAAAAAAAAAAAGCAGCATTTTATGAAGAAGTCTTTGCTCTAGGATATACAAAAAGAAAGCATTGAATCAGGGTTACTGAGAATTCTTCACTTTTTCAAGGTGCTGTACAAAATGTAGGTTAATATTCTTTCAAGATACTGTTTAGGATCCACCTATACTTTTTTTCACATTCTATAAAATAAGCAAGAAGGTTGAAGGGGTTTTTCACTGTGCACTTTTAATTTTGGGTGCTAAATTTGGCATACCAAAGCACGTGTCTCTTAAACTACGTATTTATGCAGCTGCAGTCAGAGAGCAAAAAGAGCAGGCTGCTCTTTAAGGGAAAGCAAACTGGGGGCCAAGGCTGGCAGCAAGGGGCACTGTCATGGACAAGGGGCACAATCCCACAGTATCAGTGAGTTCTGGTGACTGTTTTTCTGTACAATTGTTATCTGCATACTGGTAAGGGACCGATACTGTCAGTATTTATTTAGTTCCAAATGTACTTCAAAACCCACATCTTCCTATTTTCTTTAGCTCTGCTTGCCAGAAATTCGCCCTGTGTACTTCTGCTGCCCGTACTGCTGTGTCTTGGTTTAACCCCAGCCAGCCACCAAGTACCACAAAGCTGCTTGCTCACACAGTTCCCCTCTGTGGTGAGATGTGGAGGAGAAGCAGGAAATAATTGTAAAACACGTGAGTTGAGATATAAACAGTTTAATAATTCAAATAAATATAATAATAATTATAGAGACAACAAAAAGAGAGATGAATAAAACCTGAAAGAGACAAGCAATGCCTAAATCAGTTGCTCACCACCCACTGACAGATGCCCAGCCCTGCCTTGATCTGTGATCAGTCCCTCCCAGCCTCAACTCCCCCCAGTTTATATTCAGGTCAGCTGTCCCAGCCATTCTCCCTCCTGGCTTCTTATGCACCTGCTCACTCCCAGAGCATGGGAAATTGGAAAGTCCTTGACTTGGGATAAGCCCTGCTTAGCAACAACTAAACCATCAGTGTGTTATCAACATTATTCTCACACTAAATTAAAAAATCACAGCACTGCACCAGATACTAAGAGGAAAATTAACTCTGCCCCAGTCAAAACCAAACACATTGCTATCTTCATCAATGCCCCTTGATTTTTGTTTTGTTGGGGGTTTTTTTGTTTGTTTGTTTGTTTTTTCTTTTTCTCCCTTTTCAAATACTGAAAACAGCTATGTTAATTCCTCTGCTAGGTCAGGCTGATGCTTTAAACCCAAGTTCCTTCCTTCTCTGTTGATGCTTTGTGGCATCTTGCAAAGTGATTTACAACAAGTATTTGTTTTCAATTTAAGTCTTCCTCCAACTAAACAACCACTTCAGAAAACAATATTTTTAAAGGACAAAGTACTGTTCTGACCTGGAATATGCAAAGTGAACAGCAGTATCCAACAACACCAGTGCTCCTGCGTGATTTGAGAGAGACTTCAAGAACTTCTGTTATCCTTTCATGTAACCTGGCAGTCCATGGCAAACACCAAGTCCCATCTCATCTCTTGCTTCTTTTTGAGAGCACTGACTGGCCCATAAGCAATCACTAATTTGTTTTTGAATGGTCAGTGACTCAAGAACAGCTGATGCCATTTTGAAAGCATGCCACTCCCTCTGACCTCGTTATGGATCATTCCTAACCAGTGATTTTAACATCGTGTGGCTTCTCAATGTTTCAGTAGTTCTGACTCCACAAGTTTTGAATTCACAAGTGATTTTTCTTGTTTTCTGTGAGAGCTTCTTGCAGGAAGAGAATAGTTAGGTTCAATTTAACATCTAGGTCACGAGATCAGTTCTTGATCCTGTGCAGAAATATGCAAAGGGCATTTAAATCTCAGATAAAAAAGTCAGAGTGGACATACCCTCAGAAGTGGTTATGGACAAAAGGTCTCAAGGGGAAACATGCAGCCTGAATAATCCTGTAAAAATCCCTTGTTGTGCATTTTCATTTAAGAGGCTCCATTTGTGTAAGGGACCTTCCAATACCACCACTTCTCCTCAGCACTCAGATGATAATGGGTACAACAAGGTCAAACAAGCATTACAGCACAGACTACGTAGAACAGTAATATTGTAAGTAATATTTATAGAAACTTATAGCTGTGTAAGCATTACTGAATATTTAGTGTTACTGAGAATAGAATTCCCATTCTTTACTGTCTGTCAGCTTTGGTTTTTTATATTAAAGCACTGACGTCATGTTCATAGAATCATAGAATGGTTTGGATTGGAAGGGACCTTAAAGATCATCTACTTCCAACCCGCCTGTTGTGGGTAGGGACACCTTCAACCTGACCAGGTTACTCAGAGCTCCATCCAACCTGGCCTTGAATGTTTCCAGGCATGGGCATCCACCACCTCTCAGGAAGGCTATTCCATAATTTTAAAACCTTTGTTGTAAAAACCTTCTTTCTTATATCTTAGAGCTTTAATAGGGACTGGAGTTGGGGAGCCATTAGCAATAAAATTGGTATTAGTCATAGGCCTGTATTCCATTTTTCCTCTTTTAAAGGGATTTGCTCCCTCTTTCCCAGTCAGTGGGAACTTCACTGGACTGCCATGACTTCTTAAATATGATGGAAAGTAGCTCAGCCACTTTCTGTGAGTTCCCTCAAGACTCATGCATGCAACTTATCAGGTCCCATGGACTTGTGTACCTTCAGGTTCCTTAGATGATCTCAAACCTGTTGCTCTGCTACAGCTGGCAGTTCTTCATTTTTCCAGTCCCTGCCTTTACCTTCTGCAACTCAGGTGGTGTGGCTGGAGCACTTGCCAGTGAAGACTGAGGCAAAAAAAACCAGCCACTGAGTACCTCAACCTTCTCCATATCCTGGGTTACCAGCTCCCCCATTCCCTTCTGGAGAGGACACACATTTTCCTTAGTCTTCCTTTTACTACTTATGTACCTACAGAAGCTTTTACTGTTGTCCTTGAGATCCCTAGGCAGGTTTAATTCTTTCAGGGCTTTACTTGTCCTAACCTTATCCCTGGTTGCTGGGACAATTTGCCAGCATTCCTCCAAGGTTCCTCACTTCTACCCTCGTAGGTTTCCCTTTTCTGTTTTTGTCCGGGAGCTCCTTGTTAATCTGTGCAGGTCTCCTTGTTCATATATAAAATCACGTTTTTAAAATTTAAGTTTAATTCCTGCTAACAAAAAATTATGACGTATGCAGATATTTCAGTTGAAGAAGGTATACTAGGAATTTGTTTGGCCTGTACTGCTAGAAACTTGATGTATTTTTTTTCTTTTTACAGTCATGAAAAAAAATATACTGTCCCCATTTACAAAATAGCATTCTAATGATCTTTCTGTTCACAGATGACATACTCTGATCCTTTCATCATTCACATCACTCCCTCTCCTGGTTTGGTAACCATAAAGACAGAATCTGTAAAGCAAGGGATAGAAGCTTCAGGCTTCTCCCTTAGCCCTGCATGCCAGTGGACTTGTCTCTCCCTATTACCTGTGGAACAGTATGGGAATCCAGATCCAAATGGCAGTGCTGGGCCAGGAGCAGGGATTTTAGGCATCTCCAGCTGAAACCACAGGCCACAAGCCAGCCAGCATCACAGCAGCTGGCCTGGAAATGTACCTCACCAGGCACTCCAGAGAGTTAAACTCAAACGCTTCTAGACTATGTCCACTACTTCTATATTTAGCTTTTAAGGTGCAGCCTATTTTTAGAGGCTAGAAAAGTATAGATATATTTAATCTGAGTCACTAATTTAGACATTTTTTTAATAAGTACTAATTGCCTTTTTTAAATGAGCATCTAAATTCCCCTCTCCTTCCCAGCCTTTCTAGTAATGCACACTAGAAATTCATGATACCAAAACTCTTTGTTTAATATGTTTTATTAACATATTTAAATAAACTAGAAAGAGCCTTAAACCAAATAAATTAAACCCACTGTGTACTTACATAAAGATGAATTGCTAACTGAAAATATAATCTGTTAACATATTGAATACTATTTGTCCTTTGTTCTGCTTACTTATACTATTATGTCCTTTTTCTTTCACTTTTATTTCTGAATGGAATAGAAACAAAACCATCTTCTTTTTTTTTTTTTTTTTGCAGCTCCCAGGGTCTCAATTCAAAGCATTAGTCACTGGCCTCAATTTACAGAGTAAACTGAAATGATGAACTAAGTCCACTGAAATGGTGATTCTTTGCATTTCCAGAAGAGACTATACCTTTCAAATATTCCTAAATACCTAGCTACATTATTTTAAAAGATACTGTAGGAGTAGACTAATTTAAACTAGGTTTTATATCATTAAAAAAAAAAAAGAAAAAAAAGAAATCGGACTATTCTGAGTGCACTTGCATTCATTACTCATTCTTGGGAGCTTTTTTATATTCATTGATGAGCTCAGGCGTGGGTGCTGGTGGAGTCCTCTTTCAGAGCTTTGCAGCTTTGGAATCTGCTCTTCACTTGAGCTTTTCAACACAGCAGCTCAGATGGCTTCTGCTTTGATTGCATCATTTATGTTTCCTATGCATTTTAAAAGCATGTATAAATTGTTCAAATCTGTGTAGACAGGGAATTCTTTGGATAGATGGAGATTGTGGTAGGCTCTTTTGCAGTTAGAAATACCAAGGCTCTTAAATTAATGTCTTTCTAAAATAAATTTCTAAAATTATCTCATTTAGTACATTTTTATGCCAGTGTATGAAGGACAACCAAATAGAAACTGACACATGCAAATCTCTAGTAATTACAAATTACTCTCTTCTACTGAAATAAGCAAGTTAGAGGTAATAGAGATCAATACTTGCCTAATTATTTGAGCACAGGAAAGAAAGAAAGAAAAATTGTGTCAAAACTGTAGAGCCAAGTCTGGTTGACTGGAGGGCCTGGTGATGTACATTTCCAGGCTGACTGCTGCAATATTGGCTGGCTTGTGGCTTGAGGTTTCAGCTAGAGATGCCCAAAATCCCGGCTCCTGACACAATATTCCTGCTTCCTTGAATATTGGTTTGGAGTTTTGATTTTCTTTTTTTTCTTAAGCACTCTAGGTACAAAATTGGATTTGTACATAAAGCTTAGCATTGTTTCTCATTTAACAAGGAAGAAATTAACTTCAGTGAGCAGTATGTGCTCTACTCAAATACATAATTACAGTCAATTAAAATTCATTGGTTGGAGTCCATTTTCACAAAACCTTTCTGAGCAACACTGTTCTTAATCCTTTTATCTGTAGTAACTGAGTTGCACCATTGGCAGCATAAAGGAAAAGTGGGTTGTAGACATCAGACTATAAATTAAGCAGTTTTATCTATATGCCCTTTTTGAACATTTCCTTAATATTAATACTTGCAGTTTTCTGAAGTTTCCCTTATTTTCGCATTTTTATTAATACTAACATTAGGAGACCACAGTGTAAAACCCCAAGTTAGATCAACTTCCTTAAATTCCAACTCTGTGCAGCCACTTTCTTAATTAGCAGCAGATAATTTTCCTGTCATTAATACTTTCAGCCATTTTTTTTAAGCTCAATGTTTAGTTCTAGGACTCTAGGAAAAAAAAGAGCAACTGACCCCTGCCTTGACTGGCTATGGACCATGTTTCATAGCTTCGAGTTCACATTACTCCTATCAGTTTCTCTTTTCCTCTATTTTCCTCTATATTTTGTTACATAATACTGATTAGATTTGTTACTGCTGTTGTTTAATTTCGAACTGAATTTTTATATAGGTGATGAATCTAGAAAAGCTCTTAGCAGTAGCTCTCTCTAGATTGCAAAATTTGGGGGTTTTATCTGCTTATTAAATCCTTTTTAAGATACTCAATTTTTGTCTGTGTTTTAATTTGTATGTGTGCTCTCAATTAATTGTTCTCAGTACTTTGATCTCTGGAAACTTAGTCAAAAGTAATTGCTAAGTTTACACGTGTCCCTAAATCTTAACAAAATATATCTGTTTTGAATGTAACATAAAACCTGTTGGTGGTCACTGAACAGTCACAAAGACTCAGTTAATCTGGATTTATCTAAAGAAGAAATTGTTGGTGTTTTTCTTTCCAACTTAGTTATGAGGCTATTTTTTAAAGACAGTGCTGGAGAAACTGTCACAAAAAATTTTGTTTATTATTTCTCTTCATGCTAACTCAATTTATGAGTTTTCTTAGGATGCAGAAGAGGAAAAACTTTGGTCTGTCCCAAATATTTCTTATAATCTGAACCTGCCTAAATTTGGGGTTGCATTGTGCTCTCCAATGCCACATAGATATTCAAGAATTTTGTGCAATTATCTATAATTCAGAAATTCTCCAGACTACCATCTCAAAAAGCCTTTATTTTTCCCCACACGGCCTTAAGGTCCTTGTGTTTGCTAAATTTTTTGTGATGTATGTTCTAACATGAAGGGGAGTGTTTTGTGATTTTACTGCAGGCAGCTAGTCTAAGGATGAGCACACACTGCTAATGCTCTATATGGGATTTCAAACCATCAAAGCAGAGGGGAACTTGCTTCACACAAGTGTAGGAAACATTGTGTGGCTCAGACAAGGCTGAGTGAGTGAAGGAGAAATCCACAAAGGGCCAGCCCAGCCTGAGCTCCGTGTTCTTGCAGCTATGGCACCACGGTGCTGCTATCAGTTTACAGCTAGCAGAGTCAAACCTGTGGCAGGAGGCTCTATGGTGTCTAACTACGGGAATACATTTCTGAAAGTCTGTGATAAAAATAATCTCAAATCGCAGATAAAGATTGGCTAGAGTATTGAACAGGTGTACTCTGAAAAAAACAATATATCCACGTTGATGTAGAAATTAGCAGTAAAATGGAGGCATTTAGACAAAACCAAAGTGATAAAAAGAGCACATGAAAACTCTTACTGTAAGGAACAACTCAGCAGTGTGTTTAACATTGTTGTTAGAGAGAAAAAAATAAGGAAATATTAAGAAGGACAAAAATGAGGCACAAGTGAGAGTAAGCAAGATCCAAAAGTGGAATTAAATGCAGAAATATTACTCTCTTCAGAGCTTGGTGATGAGAGGAAGCCCTGAAAAACCTTGGAAGATCACTTTGTAATTTCAGTTCATCTGTGTTTGGGATGTATCCCTTAATCATCAGGTAACCCACACAAGGATTTCTCAGCAAATTTAATATGATCTTTTTAACTGTTCTGCAGCAGCAATTTGTCCCTAAAGACAATTTTTCGTATTTCACTGAAGCTGTGGAGTTTTTTGTTCAACATGTAGTAGAGAAAAAAGAAAAGATCCTGCTTCTTAAATAAGTGAAAAAAAAATCTAAAAGCAAGGTCTGAGCTGTAAGAGTAAGGCCAATAATTCTGTGGTATTACCAAAGACAAGTGGTGCATTTCCTCTCAAGCCTCAATGGGCAATTGGTTTAAGTCCCAGTACTGTCATTTGTCATTTTATAACAACATGTGTGTATCAAGGCTTTTTCTGTTTACTCTCACAGCTAATAAAACCAATACACAACAGCATGGACATTTGCTTGTGGAGGGAACAGTAATGGCATGAAGGTCATCTTAGAAAGCCACACTGCTTTGTCTCTTCTCTGCAAATGGTCCAAAATATGTGTGTCCAGCAATAGTATGAAACATAATGCCTTCTTATTTACTCTTCCTCTTGAAATTTCATTCACTATTCCCCCGCTCCCCTTGTCCTACTTGCCCTGGGCTTATAATTATCAGCCAGAGTGACATTTCACCTGATACATAATCCTTGTTCTTGAAATAGGTGCAAAGAAGAGTACACAAAGTTACCCACTATATCATCAGATGCAAAATATTTCAACTCAAACTGTAAAGTACTTTTTTTTTAAACTGGAGAAGTAGCAATGTATTTCTGCTGCTGTTAGCTTTAGGTGACAGACAAGAC